ACCTCTCTCTCTTTAACTGCAGCATCGATGTGTGGCTATTTTTAAAGACAAACAGAACAAGCCGACGGGTTTTGCCCTGGGGAGTATTGAGGGAAGAGTTGCTATTCACTACATCAACCCCCCAAATCCGTAAGTGGGACTCAACCAGCTGGAATTCTTAGTGGAGACTTATTTTAAAAAGTGAAACTTAGATGGAGCTTTCTTTTTTAGTGCCAAAGATAACTTCACCTTTAAATGCCATCGGTCCAATGGAACCAACACTTCGGCTCCTCAGGACATCTATGCGGTAGGTTCACAGGAGCTGCACCTTCACCCTGAGATGCAGCCAGGGACTGCACTTGGGGGGGGCTCTTGGCGTGGTTATGGGTCAGAAGAAGTGGGCCCACCGAGAGCCTGTGTGTGTGTGTCTGCAGAGGGGGCTCATGCTGTGGGGCTCAGTTTCCTGTCTTTGCCAGTGAGGAAGCTGGCTTTGTTCTTAGTGTGTTCTGGAATGAACCCTGAGACTGAGAGCATTTCCACCTTTGTCATGAGTGCTGGGGAGCGGCAGCCATAGCGAGGTCTGAGGACTTGGTGTTCGCTGACAGAGCAGAAGGAAGCTCTGAGGCAGGCGTCCGTGCCTCAGCCTACCGCGTGTTGGCTCACAGAGGCCGGGTAGCTGTGGGCTGGCAGGCAGGTTGGGGCATGGTGGGTAGTGCACTGTAGTCCTGGGTTGGTGTCCTGACTCCTTTGGGAAACCCCGGGAGCAGTCTGCCTCCCCACCGGGCCCCGCCCCTGCCTCTCACTGTTGTGCATCTTGCTTGCAGGTGAACGGAATCTCATTCCACCCTGTTCACGGCACCCTTGCGACGGTGGGATCGGATGGTAGGTTCAGCTTCTGGGACAAAGATGCCCGGACAAAACTCAAAACTTCGGAACAGCTAGACCAGCCGATATCAGCATGCTGCTTCAATCACAATGGCAACATATTTGCCTATGCGTCAAGTTATGACTGGTCCAAGGTGAGGAGCCCTGCGCCCGCCTGTTCTGGGCACTCAGGCGGATCTGGGGCCAGCGCCCTGGGCTTAAGCTGTGGCACTTCCTGAGGGCGGCTGGGGCACCTCCCCGCAAGGGGCACAGCAGGGCCTCGCGTGCTTCAGGGCAGACTGGCCACGTACACTCTGCTCTTGGTGAGCTAGAGGGCAGCCCTGGGGAAGTGAAGGGACATGCAGGGGAGGGCACGGCAGGCTTGGGGCTGTCTCGGGGTGGCACTGGGTAGATTGCAGGAGGTTCAGGCAAGAGTAATTAGGGTCTGTCTGGGTTCCGGCTGCAGCTTTAAAGCCTCTTGAGGGGCAGTGCCACGTGCAGGCTGGGACACATGTGCCTGCTCGCTGCGGGCCAGCATGCGTGCTTGCCTTCTGTTCATGCTGGCGTCTCCGTTGAGAGTGGTTTGCATCTCTCCAGCCTCTTGTCCTTGGCTCTTTGCCGCACAGACTCATAAAACTACATTTTAATTTAAATT